AACGGCCCGGCTGAAAGACCGAAAGGCGACATTCACAGCCAGTGCAATATTTCGAAAGGTTTACCTTCGAAAAAGATGAAATTTTTAAGTAGAAGTTTTACCCAACCAACTGGGGCCTCTCGATATGTTCTCTTCGTTCTTTCACCTCAAGTTCTGCTCATTTTTTTAAGTATTTCATTTCAACCGTATGAAAAAGACTTTTAGTTTTTTTTTTATGTTGACGAAAAGATACTCAAGAAAACAATTTGTCTTCCGAAGTAATTGTAACCGTCCGCAGTTGTCAATTAGTAAAAGACTTTCAACTTCGTATCAATTGAAGAGATAACTACAACTCTTTAAGTTATTCCACTTATGCGAGGAACTTGGACTCTTCCGCAGAAACTTGAGTTTATGAAAACACTTTAAAAAAAAAAAAAAAAAAAAAACTCATTTTAAAGGCGGAGACTTTCAACTTTTGAGAATGGACTAATTAAGTACCTAAGTACAGATCCAAATATGATTTTCAATTTCTTCTTATTTATTATACTTCTCGTTTTTCTTTTTCTAAGAGCTTTAATTCTTTTTCCGTCCGATCCGAACCATTTTCAAAAGCATTCGTCCTTCAATCACAACACATCGAATTGCTATTTACAAGGTGAAAACAAGAAAAGAAAACGGAGAGATGGACATACAAGTTTACGTCAATTTAGAAAATGATTGTGAATGGATCGATAGAATAGAAGTCGTATCTGCCCCAAGTTTTTCCAAGTGTTGCATGTCTTTCACCACAAGTGGCGTAGCGTGTAAAAATGCTGGTTGTAATTAGCGGAACCTCGAAGCTAATCAACTAAGTAACTAAAACAGAGTTATAAGAGTGCTTTCCAGTTCTTCTCCTTCTCTTCTTTTTGTTTTTCTTTTAATGTCCTAGAAACTTACCAAGATTCGAGGTGTTCCAATGTTTATTTGAATTTTTGCCTCCTTGAGATAAATATCGAAGAAGACGAGTATGAGTCAGGAAACAAAAAAAAAAAATGTTCAGAATGTGTACCTTAGCAAGTAAACCCATCACAGCTAACCTTGCAATCATTAAGTCAGTGAAGTCTATAACGTGTGGAGGAAGATTGGTTTACAATTGTCTTTAGAGGTGAAGAGCATAACATGGTTAGGTGTGATGATTTCATTATCATGAATTTATAGTAAATCATAAAATTTAATAAAACTGCACGGAGTCTTCAGGGTTTTCATGTGTGCAAAAAAAAAAATAAATAAATAACGTAACTGAAATTTTTTGTTTTTTAATTGGCTTCACAATGAATTATAAAACAGTTGAGGTTTTTTGTTTTTCCTGCCGCAACATAAAACATCATAACACTTATATGTAAGATAACGATTTATTTTTTTTATTTTTATTTATTTATTCATTTTTTTTTTCTTTTTTTTTTTTCTTTTTTGTTAATGAATATAATCATAATAATAAGTTTCACTAAATATTCGCATGAAAACAAACTGTGTGAAATGATAGTATTTTAGCTTGACTATGGTCATCATTAGTTAAAAACAAAAACAAAAACAACAACTACAACAATAGCAATAACAAAAAAGAGAGGAAAGAAAATTTACAAAATTGAAAAATAATTATAATCTGGAATATGTTATTAAAAAAGAAAAAAAAAACAAACAAAATTAAATTATTTGGATTAAATTTGCTTTTTATTTGCAATTACCGTGAAATTTGAAATATGTTTGTGACGCCCTTTTTTGCATTTGTGTTATTAAAACGTAAACCGTAAAGCGCAAGCAATGCTTACATAAAAACAGTAATAATCCCAACTTTTAACAACTAATTATGAAATATTAAATAATTATTATTCTGTACTGCAGTGCATGGTTTCGCGCATTATTAAGTACAGCACAGGCCGTGCAGAGGGGGGGGGGGGGGAGCGGAGGGGGTTATACTCCTTTGATTGTTGCTTGTAGTGTATTAATAGCAGTGAAATAAAAGGCCACTTGATGAAGTTCTTTCAGTTTCGTTTGCCGTGACATTTGCTCTAATTTACTTTGACGTTTCAAATTGAAAAAGTCTGCGATTACATCATGAAAAAAACACAAGCTTTAGAAAGGTCGCAATGAAATTTACACTCGATTTCATAATCATCTCGCCGCTAACATATAGTCTAGTGATACGATGCTCGACTTTTTCTCGTTACCTAAATTCACTTTCGCTACAGTTTCGTGGGGTAGACTACTAATAACTATCTTAACTAAAAGCAGTTAACAAAATCTGAATACAAAATGCCCCGAGAAATGAAGACTGCTTGAGTTATAATAACATCACAATATGGCTGCATGCTATCCAAGTTGGATTGCAATTGAAAAAAAAAATGCTCTTTCTCTCTCTCTCTCTCTCTCTCTCTCTCTCTCTCTCTCTCTCTCTCTCTCTCTCTCTCTTACAACGATCATAATAATAATAGTCCTGGGAAACAAAGTTGAGCAAACAATCAAAAGGTCACAAGAGGAGGAAAATATGACGAACTGTAACTGATTGACTCATAATAAGTCGGTCGAATATCCCGATAACATGGTTGCATGCTATCCAAGTTGAATTGCAAGTTGAGCTGCAAAAAATATCTTCTCTCTCTCTTTCTCTCTCTCTCTCTCTCTCTTTCTCTCTCTCTCTCTCTCTCTCTCTCTCTCTCTCTCTCTCTCTCTGTCTATCACTGTCTATCTCTGTCTATCTCTGTCTCTCATTTACAATGACAATAATAATAACAGTCCCGGGAAACGAAGTCGAGCAAACTAAAAGGTTACAAGAGGAGGAGAATATCACGAACTGCAACCGTGAGAGCGGGCGGAAATGTGAGGAATTTGTGGAACAAATTGACAATCTTGGACAACTCAGTGCATCACATATATTATGAAAGCGAATCATTGGGAATAAATTTGGATGTGTTGTGATTCGGGCATTTCCTAACGAACATATCCTGATATTTGATATGGTATTTAAATCGACAAGCATGGCAGCCTCGTCAAATGAATGAAGCTAATCAATTGGATCGAATATTCATCGCTAGCTCGCCTATGACACTTACAAGCATACATTCGCACAATACTCATACGATTCAGCGATACTTTGGCGGGGCTTTTAAAACTAAAAATCATATATAATTTGTCTTCTTAGATATGTATATGGTTTTGTAGTAATTATATGGATAGAGGCTTTCTATTTCATTTTTCCCTCGTTTTTCGACTATAATGTAACGAAAGTAATAAAAAAGTTTTTCAATCAATTTCGGTTGTTTTTTAGGCAAACTTGCGCGGCCTTCATTGCCATTTACTTAAAAATGAAAGAACAGGCAGACAGACAGACAGACGCACATAGCTAAAGCGATTGCCCTTCTGTTTACAGCGATCAAGAGCATACAGATTTTATTGAATTTTGAAGCGCAGGGTTGTATGCGCAACATACATATTTACGAGAATTTTGTATTCTCTCTTTGGTGAATGTTTTGGTATTAATTAAGAAAAAATTTAGCTAAAAATTAGAATTGAATTCCGTTCCGTGAATTATCAAATCAAATTCATTTAAGCTCTCAGCTCAGTGAATTGCGGATATGTAATGAAGGGGCGGGAGGACCTTTACCAAAATACTGTTTAACTTAATAAGTTGTTGAGCAAAATGCAAATAATTCTCATAATTCGACATATTGTTCACATGTTGTTCATCTCCCCTGGTGGGTATGTCGTATTCGCTGTTAGAATGGCGAATAAAGTATTTAATGTTTCTTTAATTGTATTTTTTTGTTTTTTTTTTGTTTTCACTGTTGATTTGTTTTTTAAGCAAGCATGGCTAACGACTTTTGAAAAACATATGCTATACTAAATAAAAGTGTCTATATGCAGTTATAGCAATTACTGTATTTTTTCATGCTTTTTTTTTTTGTATTATTATTTTTTTATAGAACATTTAATTTTTTTATCATTTTATTTTATATTAATTTTTTAAATGCATTTTTTTGTTTAATTTTTTTTTTATTTTTATTTTTTTTTTAGGTATTGACATATATCCAGATCAGTGCATTTAAATTAATATGTAAATAAATGAATGTAATAAAAATGACAACAACAAGAAAAACAACAGCAACAATAATAATAGCAATAAGCACACATAACTGCATAAAGTATGCCAGCAACTGTTTAAACAATTAAATTATAATAACAATAATTGAATAACAAAAATCAAACAACAAAGCATCCAAACAGCTAACCAACCAACCAACCAACCAACCAACCAACCAGCCAACCAACCAGAAAACAAAACAAAAAAGAAAAGTAAAAACTTTACATAATCCAACAACAACAATTATAACGAGTAACAAAATGGTAAACTGAATGCTCTACCGCCATAATTTAAATTGCTTGCCAAAAAGAAATCGAACGAAACATTTTCAAATAAGCGAAACAAATAGCAATCGTATGCGACAACGGTAAAAAGCAAAAACAATGTCACAAAGCTAAAATGTTTATTTGCTAGAATATAAACAAATTAATTAAATAAATTATTTAATGGAAAATAATAATAAAATCTTCACAGTAAATATAACAATCGATTGAATCGAATAAATGGCTGCCTGAAATTGTAACAACAATAATAACAAATACAACACACAACAACTGCTGATATTCATTTTACATACAAAAAGGAAAAAAAAAAAAAAAAAAAACAATTGATTTTGAAATAGAAATATCAATGAATTCCGAAACGCACGCACAAACACGCACATGCTAAAAACCGATTAAATAAATATTGTGCAACGAAACGAACATTATTATGATAACTAATAAATGTAGACCAATGTGCTGAGCAATGTGCATAACTTAAGACAAACAATTTAAAGGATTCGATTCTCTATTATATCTACATTTCCTCTCCATAAATATTCTGCATACATGATGAATGAGTGTACATGTTTATGAATACATTTCTATGTTATAAGAGCGAAAAAGCGAAAAAGCGAAAAAAAATAAAAAAAATTAAAAAAAAAACGCACACACACATACACGCACATACATATAAATACAATACACACACAGATAACAAAACGAGAAATAAATTCATCGAGAAATTACGAATAGACCATTGAAACGCATGCATAACAAATAAATTTCCCAGTAAATAATTTCCATCTCTGATAGCAACAGCGGTAACAAAAGATAGCAAAAGAACAAAAATAAAAAGCAGGCAATAGATTGCGTGCGATACAACAACTCTTACCTGCAGACAATTACTGCTACTAACTAACAACTGCAACGGGAACCATCGTCGTCGTCGTCGTCGTCGTCATCATCATCATCATCATCATCATCATCGTCATCGCTATTATCATCCATTGAACTGTCTATCCTTCTATTCAGCAGGTTTCATGTTACAAATGATTGTTATCGATTTAAGTTGGTTGCCATTCTTTTTGTACGTGTTCATCATTTATTCGAACGTTCATGCATATGATGTATACTACTGAGGTAAAAGGTTAATGTGCGCCATCGTCGTTTAAAATTCGTTGCATTTCCGTTCATACTAAATGCTCTGACATATAACAAGCTACAAAAACAATAATAATAAAAATAGTAATAACAACAACAGCAACAACAAGAACAACAATAATAATAACAGCAATAGCAACAACAATCAAATTATAACAGGAATCACACATATACCAAAACGACCTATGCTTAGTGCACAAAAAAAACACGAAAAAAACCAACGTAAAAGAGCCATTTAACGGGTTGGCTTTTCGCAGGAATAAATAAAGAGTTCCATCAACTTTACCATAAAAATTATATTACTATGAGATACTATGAGCAAAACCGAAAGCAATAGAACAACAAAAACAATAATAATAATAATAACAACAACAACAACAATAAAAGAAAAGACAGAAACTGATATTTTCAAGTAGCGCTACAATTACCACCACTAGTGTATTTAACTAGAACCACGACTATTACTAAGACCGCACGTACATATATGTGCATACATCAGCTCTTCAATTTGTTTCGTATAAAGTGTTGCTGTTTTTATTGAAACTTTATGGCGTGAATATTAACGCATAGAGGAGAGAGACCCGCATAACAACAATTTGTACCGCTTTCGATGCATATGTTGTTTTTTGCTTCATCTATATCCATCCATCCACAAAACGAATTCTAATTCATTTCATTCATATATGTAAATATATATGTAAATATATATGTAAATATATATATATATATATATATACATATACATATGTATACATATTATTTATATATTTTATTTACATATATACAATATATATATATATATATATATATATATAATTGTATGAGTATCTTTACCAATTACATAGGCAACAAAAACTAACTAACTAAAAACAATAACAACAATATTATTAAAAGCAGTGCAGCAAGGGCAAGAAAAAAGCAAAAAAGGGGCAAAACTTCGCATAGAAAGGAATAATAAAGACGACGAAAGTGAAGCTGTCAACATGATTGCATTTTTAACGTTGTTCTTCTATATGACAAGTGAGTATTGAAAACTTTCGACAGTTCACTTATTGAGATGTTATTAAAATATACACACATACGCGTAATATAATCCGCTTTAAATATACGAAATATACGGCGCTCAACACGAAATGTGGGTCTGTGTATTTATTATAAGATATATTGTGTACTCTAAAAAATATTAAACCTAATAAGGGAGATAGACAGATAGAAATAAATGATGAACGTACGCACTGAATAACGAATATTGATAGGGTAGAGGCTCAAAACTTTTTAGAGTTCTTTTAAAATGTAAGTGCCTTCGAAACTATTTGAAAGTAAGAAGCACGTTACATTGATTATCAACACATTGAAAGTTTTATTCAATACATATACATCTAAAATTTTTGTTTAAGAAATTTTTTAAATTTTCCAAGTTTTCGTTCCATATTTGTCAACATAGGCACGAGGAAAATTTATTTGCGGAATCATAAACAAATATCGTTAGTTGGAGTACATTGCGATCAAACTCTTCACAATTGCCTTTGATGTTTTGTAGGAAAAAATTAAAAATTCAAGGAAAAATCAACAAATTCTTTACATACGTACGGCCGCACATAAGCAAATGATTGAATAATGTGTGGAACAGGTAGGAAGTTGTCGCCTCAGCCATTTGGCCGCCGTAAGAAAACAGGACCTAATCAAATTCTAATGGTAAACGTGTGTTTTTCTCCATTTCAATGGCATACGAACTTTAGATCTTATAGATCATCAGCGTATCAACGATGCAAGCAAGAAAGAGTCAAACAAATGATTGCAAATTCCTTCAGCCCATCCTAGAACAAATATCTGTCAAATATAGGTTTTTTTAGAACACAAGTCATAGAGACCTTTAATACGTTGATTAATAAATCCCGGAACCGAGTAAGAGAATACCCTTTCCTTATCCCTGAGACACCCATTTAAGATGAGCAAACAGATTATAGTTGTTAGGAGCTAGGCCTGGACAATACGGGGACGGATGCAGCAATATAAGATGCAAGAAAGCTGCCATTAAAGCCTACGAAATTATTGAACAACTTAAAGCTCATACTTAAACCGCTTGATCGCGCAAGTTGTAGAAAAATTACAAGGAAATCAATCTGTTAGCGATATTTTGCCGTTGTGGCCGGTCACTACTTGCAAAATCTTATGATCATTTTCTTATCATAGCGTTTGTGATTTACCCGTCCCCCGTGTGCGTCGTACTCCCGTAGTCTCACAGTCACCGTACACTTTGCCAATGTAAATCTGATTATCGAACAAGGCCACTGAGTTGAGATAATGATAAAGAATGAAATTGAAATTGACTTTGACTGCCTTGCCATTCCTGACATCTCTGAGATGTTGTTCACAAGGTCATCCTTCATTTAGAGCTCGCGCCTGATTATCATCAAAAAGGTGAGATTAGTCTTCATTGCCTTGGAAATCACATTTCTTGAAATTTCTTTTCATTATCTACCTATGAGTCTGGTTTATACTTAGTCCCTGGTAATATGCAGCCTTGGGCTGAATAAGTAGAAATGCTTTCATTGTAAATTTTAAAATAAAACGCACCTTTCCTCCGTTGATGGACTGACAAAGTGAAAGCCAAATGGCGCAAGAGAAATGAAACTAATCTACTTACCGAGACCAGCAGTGATCAATGCGCTGCGATGCGAAATGCAATGCAATGGAAATCTGATTATTGTAAAATATTTTGATATTTTCATGACTAAAATAGAAAGCAAATTATTTCCATACACAGTCACATGTTGAAACTTATATATATATATGGGCGGTATTAAATGTAATCTCATACAACATACATGTGTGATAATCGATAATTGTTACAATAACCGACACAAACGTAAGAACAACTCACAAAAGTATCTCCCTTTAATCCCTTAAGTATTTGAGATTTATATGGGGATGTAACTGTGTACATAAATACATATATACGTGGCTTTAGCTGTCCTTTGATTTTTTTGCCGTTTCTTGTTTTTGTTTTTTGTTTCTTTATAATTTACTGATAAATATTTTATTAGGGGAATTTTATTTTTAACTTATGTCGATTTCCTTTATTCGTTTCTGTTTGTTCGCCTTGTTTGCGCAAAAACAGAGAGAACAGAGAAAAAGTTTATAGATTTTAAGTACTTTTCAATTTGAAATTTGAAATAAAATTTATTTCGATTGTCATCAAAATATTTTATATCCTCTTGCGGGATTTTAAAAATTTGTGCAATTTTTTTAAGCAATCGCTTTTTTACGTATATGAGATTACTGTATGCACTTAAAGAGTACAACAATTATTTATCTTTAATTACGAGTACTTGCAGTAATTTCGAAATCCAGTATATAAATTATTATAAAAATTAATTTATGAAAATCTTTTTTGTTTTTTTTTTGTTTATCATAATTTCATAAAATAAATTCGATAAAACCAATTCATCATTTATTTAATACTCACAAGTTATCTCCTCTCGTATGTGCATTCGTTTGCATGCTTTGCTAAAAATTGCAAAATCAATGCAGCCTTGAAAGGAGAGCATAATTTTTTTTCTTGTCTTACAAGCAATATATCAGTTTTTTAATAACACTTATTGCATCGGTCATAAACTATACGGATTGATGGATAAGGGTGAGGGCTTGGTTGTCTTTATAAATAACGCTTTTTCCTTCTCGCTGTTGTCGCTAGGTAAGGTTTCCGATTCACATACTGCTTTGCCTTCGGGTTGGTATATAGGCCTGAAACTGCCGAACGGCCTTCCGGAACCTACGAAAGGTCCAAAGGAAAGTTCAGCTTCGGCTCGAGCAAAGCTATGTCGATTGGCTCGAGTCATAGGACAAAAAGTTGAAAATTGGTATGTGTCCGGAGTGGTCAGATTGTCCAAAGTAAAATTTTTTGCACATAAACCAGAGGGAAGTGCGTTATTCCCTTACTGCCAGGCACATCAGCTCAGGGAATATCGTAATGACGTCAAATATTGAAGTGTTCGATAGGCTTTGGCGTCGACCGGTGTTGCAAGACAGTTGGCTCATACCTTTTCATTTTTATTTTGATATTTGAAAAGTTGCAGGGCCTCGTGCAATCGGGATTGTCCTATTAGCAGTCAATTCACTGCTTCAATTAACCCTTTGGACCATCGAGCACTATGACATAAAGCTTTCAAAGGAGGTACTCACATCAAACTGGACTGTATTCCGTAGATTTGATCGTCAGTCAATCTATGCCCTGATGTCCCTGACTGTGTTCGCCTATCTTCGATTTACAATTTAATGATCGGTTGATTACTGGTCTAAGTGTTTTCCATCCTCTGTTCCGCCTTTCCAAACACTTATCCCTTTACCTATCCGCATATCCGGACATTAGCATCGCTATTATCGCCTCCTTAGTGCTTATCCATTGCTTATCTATTAGCAGGTCTTCCTGCATTTGTCTCAAACTCAATTGTGTCATTATTGTATCAAAGTATGAGCTTGATCAAGCTAAGCAACATCTTGTTTCGTTTTTCAATGTTGCTTCAAGTATGAGACATGTCTTTGCTTTTTTTTTTTTTTTCTTTTGATTTGTGATAATCATCGCTCCATTGAAGTTTTTACTGCGGCATATGTATTTGCGGTGTTCAAAAATTGACCAATGGCATAGAAATATGTGTGATGTTGTGACGCCGACGCTATCTGATAATCAAAGAAACAATAAACCACAGTTTTTATTGTCCTGCGTTACGCGATATCGTTACGATACGGCACGACTTAGACCAAATTTTACCGAGATTTTCTTTTTTAGTTTTCAGCAGAGTAAATACGAAGAAGTAGAAATTTTGCAGCGTAAATCGATAACAACAATAACTTACCTATTATGAGAAATATGAGATATGTGTCCGCCAGCCTTAGAGTAAAGCTATATTTTCATTCAAAAACCTTTCATTCCTAATAAGAATGAACTAAAATGAATTTAATTTGTTTAACAAATTGCTTATATAAACAATGAAAGCGTAATAAATTACTTTCGTTAGTAGTTAAATGATCCTATTAACCACATAATCGTTTATTGTATGTAACCATGCAAATGGGTTTTTATTGAAAATAACGAACGATAAATTTTAGAACATTTTCCCATAGTACATTTTTTATTACCGATTGTCTACATTCGAAACATGCGTTTTTAATGTCTGTCAGCTTTGAAAATTGATGCCCATATAGTTGTGTCCTTTTCAATTCAAAAGACGAATTACCATCGAAATGTCATTCGAAATTCTGATAAGTAAAAAAGTAGAAGTTGTCCCGATTCAGTTCAGATAAGAAGCGAAACTGCTCACCTTTTCTTTATTATAAAATATTACGAAGGTCAACGTCACAAAGTCCAATATTCGGTTTGGTATCAAACTTAATTTGAAGTCATTTTCATCTGTTCTCGATTTGGCTTGGGATTGCTACGTTGACTATGTTCTTAGAAGTCATTTGGTATAAGTTCGTTGGCAATGTCAATCGTATCAAATGTAGTCTTGATTTGAGCAGTGGCAATGAACAGCATATCCTCAACTCACGTAAGGTAAAGATGTAAGTTCTGTCAGTAATTATTCAATGTTTCGATGTTTGACCTTTCGTCATTGATTAATGGAAAAGAGACCGAGAAAGTTAGAGTAAGACTTTTAACCTGAAGGATTGATTGATTGAGCAATTGTCGGCCATTGTTTGCTTTTATAAAATGTGTTATTAAAGCTGTAAAGATTAGACCTTAAGAGCAAACTCTTATTGCATTAAATTAGCTTAGATTGGTACGGAATAGAAGATTAAATTAAGGCAAAATATACCCGTCGAAATAGTGTTTGATATATGAAGATAAGCTCGCCTAAGGGACCCCTTGAATATATATATATGCATATATGTTAACGAGCTCATAAGCAATTTTTGAAGAACATATTCCACCAAATATTTCAAGTTTTTACAGTGTATGCCAGCCAATACATTCGAGGTATTTATAAAATTTATAAACATTTTGTGAGATTAATCGCGTA